CACATACGCACACACTCCTGTCCTTTACCCTGACTCTTACCTGGCGCTGTATGGTAGTGTAAGAAGGTATAACTTTACACTTTTTGATGTATTTATGTTTGTTTAAACATTATGAGTTAGCATTACCATTATAAGTTGATATGGTAAGATTGTTACTTACACATTGAGCAGCTCCTGGGAGAAATATGTGGCCCTCTAGCTGCTACCACTATGTTCTGTCTGCTGTTTGCTGCTGAGTATCTCCCTATTGTAGAAACAACGCTGTGAGAGCGGTGAGAGGGAACCAACAACAGTGAAGTTGTGGTCGGACAGCTAAACAGTAAGCTGAAAGTCAGCAGCCACATTGTCATTTCATACATTATTATTATTGTCACTTTAAACAGGAGAAACTAAATGTGGGTAATTTCTTTTCAAAAAACTTTATTTAAACCTGTGGGGCAATTCCCCAGGCAGGCATAGTGAAAAGAACATACACAAAATAGAGACAAGACAATACATTATACATTATAGACCAACAGTGACCATTTGCCGAAGACACAACTAGAGTTGCAATGATTAGTCGATGAACTGACTAGTTGTCAACTATTTAATGAATCACTATTGATTAATTGCTTTGAGTCTTTTCATTCCTTTTAAAGAAAGTTGTTCAAATTCTCTGTTTTCTGGTTCTCAAAAGTGAATATTTGCTCTTGGGAAACAGTGATGAGCATTTCTCGCCATTCACCATGGACCAAGAAAATGATCGACCAATTAATCGGTTAATAAAAATCATCGTTAGTTGCAGCCCTAGATACAACAGTGACGATACATTAACAGCAGCAGTGAGTGAAGAGGTAGAGTCAAAGGGTCAATGTCCAGCAGTAATGATGACAAATGATTTAAGAGTCTTAATGTGCCAGGAGCGGGGCGGGGTTAGTCCTAGGTGGGATAGGAGGAAGGTAGTGTATTTTATAAACAGAGAATGTATATGTGTCTATACATTCACTGAGGCATTTTTATCTTGAATTAATAATGAATAGTCTGTGACCATAAATGACGTGTCAAAGGTGCTGAACTGGAGCTGAGCCCAGCATGTAGGACTATAAAGATGAATATAAAATAATATAAATCGGGGTATGAAGGCGCGAAGACATCCGTTTAACGTTTACAAAGAAAAGGACATATGCACTGTTTTGCACATTGTTTCATACCCTACCTGAGGAATAAAGGAATCTCTTTCAGTCATAAATAAATCATGTAAAACTGAGTATCGTGAGTTGTGAGTTGGGTGTATCGTTACATCCCCACCAGCACGTTGTTCCTGTCCGGGTTTTGGTGGAGCTGGTGAGGGATGCTGGTGCTGTTTTCTACCATCACACAACAGGGTGTTTGTGTAGGCGGGCGCGGCCACTGCACCAAGTTGACTGATTCTATGGAAATGCAGTGTAACGAGTTGACAGTTCTGTCTGATACCGGGCCAGTGGAGAGGGTGAAGAGCTCCGCTGTTGCTCCGTCAGAAGTTAGGGTGGCGTGTCGGCTGAAGGCGCAGATCCTGGAACAGAAGCGACTGTGATGATGAGCTGTGATGAGCAAACTGTGTCTCCATGTTGCTGCAGATGCTTAAAGTCAAAGCAGCAGTTAATGAGCGAACGTTTGATGTGTTTTGATGTTTTTTTATCTTCACAGAGACCCTGGAGCCCTCGCCGCCGACTGCAGCCCAGATCAGATATGGTGAGAGATTGAATCTGACACACACACACACACACACACACACACACACACACACTAATCCTCGGTATTTTGGAAAAAAATTGCAACGTGAAATTCTTCCATCAGTGTTTCTGTGATGATGGCAGTTCTGGCTTGGAGACAGATCACTTTTTTAATACTTTCAGTTGTTGACCATTTTCTGCCTTTATGGTGGAAATCAAAGCTGTTTGTGTTGCCGACTGACTGTAATTCGCTTTGTTGATTTTTCTTGTCTGTCATACCATCAAATAACAGTTTGTTCTGTGAAGTCTGAACATCAGAGATAACCTCGGTTCAATAACTGACCTCATAATCAGACTCCACATTATCTGAACTCTGAAAGACAATATTTATCCACAGTGGGAAACTACGGAGCCCACCGGGGGTCATTATACAGTAGAAAAGTAGACCAAGAGAACAGATGGCTAGACCGTGCACATGGATTAGTAAACCTGTGCATGGATTTATAAACTGAGCCTATTTCTTTTAAAAGGGAAAAGTAAAGCTCCTGAACCATCACTATGGATTTCAAAATAAGAGCGGGGAATTAATGTTTTTAAAGTCATTTGTAATGGACGCTTCCTATATCCTGCCCCTTTTGGTACCTCCGTCATCTTTCTCCTTTCCTGTGCTAATTTTCACCTGCAGTCCTTTTGGCGAGATGTTTTGAAAACAATAGTGACAAAATGTACATAATGAAGACAACAAGACGCCACAGAGACAACAACAACAGCTAAACAAGAACTTCAAGACAGAACACAAGTCACGCAAAGCAACAGGAGACAGCAAAGCATCAGTACCATAATGCAGCAGAAACAACAGACACTGTTCCTGCACATATACCCATGGCAGCTATATACAATATTATAGACATTATGTTGATCTTTATTAAAACGTTAAGACTTCAAGAACTCCAAAACTCAACTTTTAGCTCTTCTATATTAATTTAAATTGTACCAAAACTTTTCAGCATGCCATCTTCTTGATTTGAAAATAAAATCACATAAGAACACATTTAAAGAAAACGAATGTTGCTGTGTTTTAATTTATTCATTTACCAGCCGGGTTGATGAATGTGCTCTGCGGTTCACTGGCTGCAGAGTGCAGCACGCAAACAAACTGAAATTTAAATGTCAGATTATCTGTTAATCCTCCCAGTGTTGTTTATTTACTTCTATCTGTGTATTTGCAGTTTTGTTCCACAATGCCCTCCCCTTTGTTGGATTTGGCTTCCTCGATAATGCCATCATGATCGCAGCGGTAAGTGAGTTCATTTACACAGTGATTAAGCTTTTAATTTGACTGTAATTACATGCCTGAAAGAAAAACAGAGATTTTGTGAAATAGAATCTGGACAAGTTTTCATTAAAGATGTCATTTTCTTCTGTCTGGTTGCTCCTCTTGCGATAACACTGAGTCTGGATGAACATCTCACCGTATTCTCTTCTGTTCTCCAGGGAACGCAGATTGAACTCTCTATCGGAGTCACTCTGGGGATCTCCACCATGGCTGGTAAGAACACAGAGAAACCGAGCAGGCAGTCTGTAGTCGAGTCACAGTGAGATCTAAATTGACTTTTTCCTCCTGTTGGCTAATTCTCTAATTCAATTAAAAATGAATTGAAACAGTTCATCAGCAGAGAATTAATCATCAACAGCTTTTATTGGATAATCATGAGGTCATTTATTGAGCCCTGTCTTGTGAAATATAATAATTAGCTTCTTATTGCTGCTTTATAACATTGTGAATTGAGTATATGATAATATATGTACATAAGAATATTATTGAAAGCCCAAAGTGACTTGGGCTAACTGATGAAACACCAGTGATTCTCCCTCGAGTACTCTTTCGAGCGTGTGGTATTAGCCACCAAGCTTTATCCCGAACAAGAAGAATGCCGAATGAGGAGAGGAGGGAGTGGTTGCATGCTAATGATGTCAGTTAATGCAGAGATTACACAGTTCTGCAGGGTGCGACACTGCAAGGACTCACTATTGTACATTCTCTGCTTCTATCATTTTAAACTACATATTTATTTTTTGACTGTACGTTGAAACAATGCAATGTGAAGACGTCTTATTAAGCTCTCGGAAATTATGCTAGCTATTTAATTAATTGCATTTTATAGTCTTAATGATTAATGAAGAGAGTCCTGGATAATGAAATTAAGTGCAGTTTTTACAGCTGTTTGTCAATAACTCCTCCCATGAAAATTACACTTTAATTTTCTTTATTTTTTAATCTGAAGCTCAAATATTTACTTACAAATATTTAATGAATGGTAACGCCATCCTTTTGGAATTGGGAACAATAAGAATACCAAGAAATTGTTTCATAATAGATTCTTGAACAATCTGCAGAAATTAGCATGTGTGTGTTTGCATGCTAAACACTATTGTATGCAATGACCTCATTTCAACACTACCCACAATGACCTCATTTCAACACTACCCACAATAACCACTCAGACATTTAAAAGCTGCTAAAAAGATCCAACAATTGTGTATGGTTGGTATTTTTCTGAAATGGTAACTGTTTTACTAAAAAATGATCTCATCATTTTTAATCTAAAATGTTAAGTAATGTTCTGCAGTTCTTTGTTTTAAGATCAGACTTCCCAGGAAGTAATATTTGAAGGAAAGCCTTCAATCCACACTGAAGTGAATTCATTGGTTATAATTTGGGACTCACACTAGTTTCTCTCACATGTCCACAAAGGAGGTAATGAGGGTGTTCTTTATAAAAGACCTTGTTACCTAAAAAAGGTCTATTGAAGAGGATTCAACACCATATAAACTGAACTTAATCCAAATATGGAAATACAACTTTAAGAACCACCTAATAAAGTTTATTCTGAATCATACAAACTCAGATTAAATCCAAACCTGGTAATACATCTAAACAGTTTTAAATTCAGATAATTGAACTCCTGTGAACTCAGATGGAAACTATTATTAACCTTTAGGAAAGGGAACCATGAAGTCAATATTTCTAAATCCTTTATTTAAGGAGCCTTATAATAAGACAGACAAACAAGCAGGAGGTTATGTGGGAAAGGAGAGCTGTGGACGACGTGCGGCGGCCCGTGCCTTGCCTTCGGCTCCCCAGTTCAACTACCGAGTCGTCGGACCAGGTGGGGTGAGTCGTCGAGATAACTTTACTTGCCCCCTCTTCCATCAGCCATCACCTGGAAGACTTTTATTACTCATATAGCTCATATGATGCCACCATCTGTACAAAAGTGCACTGAAATATCTTTATTAAACTCCTCCGTTGTTCTGGATGTCGTTGCGGTTTATTGCAACACTGCCTCCTCTCATCATGGCTGCTGCTCTGGGTCTCAGTTGGGGTCTTTATTACGTTGTGAAACCATAAAGGCACTGGAGCTCGCCTCTTCTTCTGTTCACCACTAGATTATTCCGTTTCCATGGATACTTGGCTCCAATTTCCTCTGCAAAGTGCAAATCAGAGGCTGAAGACGGGCTCTAGATCAATAGCTCTGCTCTGACGCCTTTATCCATCCAGGCGGTGCTTTATATTTGTGTCATCGTCATCCATCCTGCACAGAAGCTCCGCTAATTACTGATTCCATATTTTTATTTTTTTTACTTGAGTGGAGACCTTTTCTAGCTTTTATTGCTGACTCCTGTTTGATCACCCAGCCCTTCACCGTCGAACACAGTCAGTGTCAGAGGTGCTGGTGAAATGAGGCAAGATTATATCACTGTCTCATTTCTCCATCTCCAGCGTGGAGTTTTTCCTTTTGAAGGAAACTCTGATTGAAGCGTCCATCTGGAGTTTTTGTTCCCACAGGAAATTCAAGCATCAGCTTCAAGCATCGTCGCTTTTAATGCCTCTAGAGATCTGCTAAAGGCAAAACAAACACACCCTTAGCACCTTTACAGTTTTAATGGCCATGAACACATATATTTTCTACCACACTGTCAGCAAACGCCTGTGAAAATCCAACCCATGTGTGAATTATTCATAGTTGCCAAGTATTGTTGATGGAGTACATTAACTGAAATTGTTATGAAGCTGATTTCGCTGACAGTAAAAGAACGAAGGCAGATGGAGAAAGAAGCTGACTAGTGTCTTGGTGGTTTTCCAAAGGTGCTCTTTGATCTGGGAAAACTTTCACACCTTCTCTCACTCCTACTGACTCTCATCTTGTATTTTGCTGCTTTGATCTATTGTTTGGGCTCTGCTTTTCATCTTTTTGAATATACAGAGATGTATGTGGGCCACTTGGCACTGTAGGGTTTAGGGATAGTCACTTACTCATTGTAGTTTTCATGTGTGGGTGAGTTTCTTAAGTTTTCTTATCGTGTTGGAGGGAAGACAAAGGCTCTGAAGATGGATTACAGCCTCAACAACAAGTTTTTGTCTCGTTAGATTTTAACTCCATCCATCTGTTTTCCAACTCTTATCCGAGTCCATGATGCAGTGGCACTGGGATAAGCAAGGTAGCCCAGGGATCTTCCACTGTGGCCTCCAGCTCAGCCTGAGAGATTCTGTGGGTTTCCAAGGCCAGACGGGATATGTAATACCGCCAGCCTGTTATGGATCTTCCCCGAGGTCTTGTCCCAGTTGGACATTCTACAGAAAACCATTTAAAGGGAAGCGTCAGATGTCTGAATCATTTCAAACCGCTCCTTTCACCCCACAGCAGTTTTGCACCAAGCTCATTTCGGATGTCTGAGCTCCTCAACATAGTGACAGTATGCTTGAAATGAACTAGTTCATATAATGTCGTCCAACCACGTCTAAAGGCAAGAAAAAGGAGGAACAGTGAGAGGTGAGAAGCCGTTTGTCATAGAAGTTGTCGAGATATGACTTGTTCAAATAGG